AAAATAGGAAGTGATTTAAAAAATTCTACTTAATTGTGTTCTTTGGAAACATCAGGTCATTTGGTTGCATTTTAAAGAGAAGATAAAAATGCAAATTTAAGTGTATACTGCCATCATTTATAAAATATGGCCTCTATTCTCACCTCATCTGTATCCCTAACAAGTTATAGCTGATACTCTTCTACCAGCACCAGATAAAACCATCCAAGTTGCTTAGCATTTTCATAAGTTAACTCCTTTGTAAATAATTTGGCTTTTAAAATAAAAATATCCATGGCTTCCCCTTCCAAAACATGTTGCTACAAATAACATGGGCGAAAAATGTCATTGTTATTGTATTGATTCGGCACATAAAAATAACAGGCATGTGCTGAGCACCTGGTAGGTATCAGATGATGCACCTGGCTGTGAGAAATTAAATGAGATAGAGGATGTAAAATATTTGTTAAATTCATCATATTATATCATACCTTTTCATGTGTATTATTATTACTTTGAGTAATGGCTAGAGCATAAGTGTGATGCTTATCATTGCCTGTTGTTATTATAATAATACATTCTATGATGAGGAAGAAAAGGAGGAGGAAAATAAAGGGAAAAGAAATATATTGGCCAGTATTTATTTAGCATGTACACTGTACTAGTCATTATACTAAGTTGTTTATATGCATTATGTCCTTGTGCAGTAGGAGGATGAAGAAATGCCCTTGAGAAAGATGGCTGGCAAAACAGCTCTGATCAGCTACAGAAGCTCCCATGTGGGTTTGATTTCAGGGTTTATCCTAGACATTGAGAAACACTGAAGAATTTTTAACAGGAGAATGACATGTTCAGATTTGCATTTTAGAAAGGTCACTCTGGCAGTGTGAGGAGTAGTTTGTACTAGAGAAAGACTGGAGAGTGGGAGACTGCTTAGAAGCATATGGCTTTGGTGATAGTTCATGCGAGAGGTGTGAAAGGTCTGAGAAGATGCCTGGGTGGAAAGAGGGGCAAGGATTCTGGGGAAGCCTCCCAGGGAACAGATTTAACCTGGAGACTGATTAGAGGGCAGCAGTGAAATATGGAGTGAGAAAGAAAGAAGGTATCCTTATAGCTTGTCAACCTCACTTCTAGATTCTCATGTATTTAGGGATTAATAAAAATGTGCAGCTTGATATTATTATTCACACAATCATGTAAAACTTCTCTATTGTCCACCTAACAAATATCTCCCGTCTTTCTTGCTCACATGTGTATGTGTGTGTGTGTATGTATACACACACACATACACAGGCATGCATTATACATATATATATATATACATACATGTATACACACACACACACACACACATATATATCCTTCAAGAAAAATGTTTCCATTCTAAAGATAGAAGACTTCCATTGAGAAGTCTTAAAGACTTAAATGTACAGAATATTCTATTTAGATTATCCTCCCAGGGATATCTCAGTGGTATCTCTTCATCTTGCATTAAGAACATTTTCATAACAATGTTAGACATGTAAGGGTGTTAATATCCTTCCCACCCCTTTGCCATAACTGTTTACATAGTAAACATTTAACATACTCACACAACAAATGTATTCTACTAATATCTTTGCTCAAAAACACATTAATTCAAAGCCCTTCTTGCTTAGGTCCACTTGAATTTGTGATTGAAATTGAAATTCTCCCTAAGTTTTAAAAAGGATGTCCTTGTCCTATGGAAATCAATGTGCTTCCAGTTATTGAACACAAGAGGGCATCATTCAGTGAAATCTTGGATTTGGGAGAGGGAGCGAAGTGGGAGAGAGAAGAGGGGACATACAAGGGAGTGAGAGGGAGGAAGGGGTATGGGAGAAGACAGAGAAAGGGAAAAAAGGAGAGAGAAGGAATTCTATTACTAATGAAAGAAACTGGGAAAACGGAGTTTTTAGTGTGTACGCCTATCTACCATGAAACATTACCATGGTAACAGCACCAGTTAAGATGATTGTATATTTAGGTCATAGTATAAAAGAAGGAGCTAGAACATGTGAAAAAAAAAAAAAGAGAAATAAATAAAGTAAGGAAAAGATATATAAAGAGTGGAAAGAGCCAAACCAACTGGAACCTACCTCTTTCTTTGCTAATAGCAGTTTGCAAAGTAACATTATACTTTCAAAGCAAATGTGGATAATACATACTAATTAAAATTAAATGGAATCATTGAAATTCCGAATCCTAAGTGCCAAAAGTCTTATTCAAAAAGATAACTCATTTAGCATGGAAAAATGAAGAGACAATTAGACTGGAATTGGGATGCGTGTGTTCTTATGCAGTTCTTGGTTAGCTGTGTCACCTTGAAAAAGTCTCTTCATCCTCTTCCTATCATGAGCTAAACTGAATGATACCAAAATTATCTTTTATTACTTTGTATCAGAAAAAACAACTTCTGTTTAGCAATGTACTAGGATAGCTGAAAGGTGAAAATGGGATCTGCCAACATTTTGGTGCCCTTGTTTACCTGTGCCAGAGGCAATCACGGACTAAACAAAATAAGCATGTTGTGACAACTAAGAATCTACTCAGCACTGCATCTTCTTCGCTAAAGGTCTAGGGGATCCAACAAAAACACAAAAAGTTGAATTAACAGATGGAGAGAACATCATTGAATTTCTGAATCCCACAGTTTTGTTTTCCCCAAACACAGGGAGAACAAGTGCCACAACTATTTATAAAGAACCAATCAACACAATACAAGAACTAAGACTGTGGAATCCAACAGACTTGTGTTTGAATCCAGGGGCTGCAACTTACTAGCTATATGATCTTGGGTCATTATTAGACCCCTCTGAATGCTGGTTTCTTCCTCTGTAAGCAGGAAAATAACATCTACTACATAGGATTGTTGCAATGAGAAAATGAAAAAATTGATTATTAACTCATTCATCAAAGATTAAATACGTGTCTTGGGTGTGCCTGGCTCTATTTTAAAGAGTAAGGCTAAAGCAACTGATAAAACAGAAAATATCACCAGGTAAATGCTTAGAATAGTGCCAGGAACTTAGAATACACTCAGCAAAAATATCTGTCTAAGAAAAGGTGACTTTCATCTCTTTCCCCACATATCACCTCCCCCACATAGGCCAGGTGAGCTGTGGAATATGCAGTCAGTAACTTACACCATTTATCTTAAGTGAGAGAAGTCTTGACACCTGCTCAATGAACCAAAGGTGGCCAGAGTGGGTACAGGTGATAGGAAACAAAAGCCAGTTGTTAGTAATCACAAGGCAGACATTGGCAGCATTTGATACATAGGACTGTACTGAGAACTATGCCACAGAGAGTCCACGCCATAAAATCTCTAGCAGGTCTAATATAAGTTTAAATGAAGAAAACCAATTCTTCAAGAGAACTGTGTGGCAAAATGTTTCTGTCAGTCTCTATCCTACTGAGTAAAGTGGGAAAAGTTTAAGACAGGATTGAGAATGGTGTCTGAGTGGTCGGGTGAAGACAATAGCAGGGGTTTGCTCACATGCATATCCTAAACAAAGGCTGACATTAGTGATGGAGGTTGAATCCAGCATGATTATTGACGTATCTACAGATTCTTGCCCTCATTTTTCTCTCTCCCAATTCCCTCTTCTTTTCCCTTTTATTCTAGTTTCTCCCCTTCTCCCTCTCTTGTACCTGCTGTAACTTTACTCATTGCTGTGGGTCCCAGAGACATGTGACTCCTAATTAGTCAGCCTACTTTCCATTCATGACAGCGTCATTCATGCTTTTTGTGCCTTCCCTACCTGCCAGCAGGCTGGGACTGTTTCCTTTGGACCTCTGAAACCACCTATTTCTCTTGACCCCGGGGAATGGCTGCTCTGGAATTGGAATTGGAAAATTGTTCAGTGAAGACACATCTGGATGCCTGACTATGTGGATTGTCTGGGCAATAAAGGGGATTGGTCAAATTTAGAGCAATATGTGTTGTTTTGTTTGTTTTGTAACATGAAGACGATGGTCTCTGCCTCTCAATATTGAGGGACTCTGGGAACTAAGCAAAAGGGACTTTTACTGGTATTTGACCTGCTATTTCTTTCCCAATCTGTCTCTGAAGTTAGTTGAGAGATGAAAACATGCTCTTTGGGTTCTCTTTTACTCAAACTGTGACAGAAGTATTCAAATCCACCTATTTGCTCACTCCAGTTCGCCTCCAGGCGCCCTCAAGCACCCTTACACAAGCAAACATGCCTCTTTGTTTTATAGGAAAATGAAGCATCTGTCAGGCAGTCTAGCCCTGGGAATTTGGGGTCTGGAGACTTTCCCTCATTTTCACCCCATCTCATTCACAGAGCTTTATTTTTAAATGGTAAACAGATTTGGCTATAGTTCTCACCTCTTTTTAGGGTCAGGTTACATCTTTAAAGTTTTAACTGGCATATTGTCTAGCCCAGGAAAGCAAATCAAGTCAATAGGAAATTGCTTATTTATTGTATTGCTACAACTAGATGACATTATTGCTAATAGCAATAACAATAATAATTCACCTGGCATTGATTTATTACTTCTGAGTCCTCAGTGCCAAGCCTGCAAAGCTGGGACATTGTTGGCACAAAATTCTTCCATCCATTTGACAAGTCTCAAAAGTCCACTTTCTGAACTGCAGAAGAATACAGTTCCCAGCTTAAAATTGCCTGGTGGCCACGTCAGCTGGTTTACCTCTGTGATCACCAGTGTCATTATTATTACCTCCCCAACCATGGCACAGGTACGCCTGTTTTGGGCTTCTGTATAAAGATATCATCATCTCTATTATCATCTTATCAGTGAAAATGCGTATATTCCTGTCATATGGTGGTACATATTTACCGATTGCCCCCAAAGTGCAATGCGCTACCTTTGCCGCACAATCCCGAGTCCCTTACTCTGGAGTTTATTAAAAGCTTCATTTTGAGAGCCCTCTGAATCGGAGACGCCAGAATTGCCAGGAAAGAAGAGAATCGCTGGCGCGTCCCAGCACCCGGGCATCGAACTTCCCTGGGCAGGATGGCGAAAAGCTGCTGCCCGCGGGTGGGCTCCTGGGGGGACGCCCGGCGGCGGAGCGGGGCGGGGCAGGGCGGGGCAGGGAGGCCTGCAGCGCTGCAGCCACAGGAACCCTTGGTGCTTCGCACAGCCGGGCCGGTTTTTCCCAGAGCCTCCCTCCCCTCAAGCCTAACCCCAATTCCAGTTTTCCTCAGGCCTTTCGGGTGGCCCCGGGGTTTGTCTCTGGAATCTAGGCTGACTCCCCACCCGACCCGCAGAGCCCTGTGCGGGCAGTGGCCCTGACCATTGCGGTGGCTGCTGGAGCTCCGGGCTGTGGAGCCGGGGCTGCGCGCCGGAGCGCTGGAGAGTGTGTGGCAGAGCGTGGAAACTGGTCGCTGTGTGCTTGTGTCGCTGGCTGCGTGTCCTAGGGGATGGGCAAATCACACGGCTGCCACATACCCATTGCCACCCAACGCTAAGAAAAGAGCAGGAAAAGCAAAACAAAGAAAAAAGCAAAGAAGAAAGGGAAATAGAAAGTCAATGTGGGGGATTCCGGAGCTTGAGGAGTGGGAGGCGCTGCTCTCTTCTTGGCTCGCGGCGCCTGGGCTGGCAGACTTGGAGCCCCGGGTGGCCGCAGCCACAGACGTGCTGTGGCGGTGAACTGACCTAAGGACGCGGGAGGTCTGCCTGGGTCAGATGTCCGCCGACAGCTCTGCTGGCTTTACGCGTTTACCTCCATTTCTCTGTTCTCCTCCAGCCACTCTGTCCCTGGCGACCCTCCCTGCTGGTATTTCTGTACATGCAAGAGTCTTGGCATCATCGCCAGGGACCAAGGGGTCGGTGGACCCTCCCGGGGACAATTCTGCATCTCAGGACAGCCTCGAGGACTGCGACGGGCAGGAAGATGGAGAAGGGGTGGGGGGTGCTGAAGGAGGACAGAGGCTAAGGGTGTGCCGCCTTGTGTGTCAATAATTCTGGGGAATTTTCACCTCTCCCAGACGAGTCTCCACTTACCCCACGAGGGGCCCCCTGGACGCCCAGCAGCGCGCACAGGTGGAATTCCTGCGCGTCTAACCGGCACCACGCATGGACCTCACCTGTCTGGGTCCGAGAGCTACAAGTTAGCGGCGATTGCCCGGGACCTCAGGTGCGGACCGCAAGGGACATTGGGCGGGTGCAGCGGTCCCCAATCTACGACCGCGGGACCTGCCGGGGCGGTTCAGGACCCATTGCGAGTTAGGTGGCGAAGCCCAGGCACAGTCCGTGTTTCATGGGCTTCGGGTTGGGACCTTGTTCCTCAGCCACCGCGGACTTTCGCGCTCCTGCGCGGGGCTAAAATAGTATGGCATTGCAGAAGGCTTCCCTCTCTTTGTCTTGGGACCCTCTCCCCCATTCTTATTGCTTCTGCTTCATGGCCATGACCCGGAGACTGCAATGGGAAACCTCCAGCGCTGGAGGGCGGCTCCTAAAGCGGAGCCGGGGATAGCTTGGAGCCAGGGCGAGCCGGGCCTCCATCCCACATGCACTGAAGACGCGGTCAGACCCCAGCAGGAAGGAACGCGAGGGGCGGGAGGGACGAACCTCTCCTTGTCTTGTCCACGGCCGCATCTAGAGTGGGTGGCGGGAAGAGGGTCGGCAACAGTAGAGAGAACTAGGGGCTGGAAGACGGAGCGAAGCCGGGACAGCGCGGCTCCCAGGCTGCTTTCGCCACATTCGGCTGGACTCAGTCACCCTCGGAATCGTAGGGATACCCCACCCCGCGCTGTGCTTCATTTGCCCCTTCCTTCCAGACCCGCCATCACTGCCCGCAGTCCTCCAAGCCTCAGGATCCAAAGTTTCCGTCTGACAATCTGCACGTGGGTAGGACCTCCCTCCAATTCCCCACCCCCCCCGCCAAGCCCTGACCCTTGAGAGTCCGGTTTTGGGGGGATATGAAGGGAGAGACCCCCGGTGCCAGGGCCCTTGGAGTGGGCAAGTGGAGAGCTGCACAGCGCGGTGCCCTTACCTGTCGCTGGTTCGCTCCAGTTGCCTCCCCGGCTGCGAGGTGGTGGAGGCTTTAAGGCGCGAGGAGCCCTTTGTTGGTTCAGGGCCGATCCGCCCGGGCTCCAGCTGCGCACGGTTTAGAGTCCGAGGCCAGCTGCCGGTTTTCTTTCTCCCTTGATCTTGCAAAAGAAAAGGAAAAGATTAGTTGGTGCCGAGACACTGAAGGGGTGGGGCGGGAGAGGCGGGAGGGAACCGACCCAAAGGCTCCGGCGAGAGCTGCGGAGCTGGCGCGAGCGCGCGCGCGCAGGCAGAGTCACGCACCCCACTCTCGTCCCAGTCACTTGGCTAGTCTGTGACCTGTTCGTGGTTTAGGCTGGAGTTATATTGACGCTGCCCCCGCCCTCCACGCCGAACCACTAAAGGAGAAGCAAACAAGACTTTCAAACCTGGCTTTCACGAAGAGCCTGGAGACCAAAATAGAATGGAGACCTGGATGCCTCGGCGAGCTGGGCTGGATTCATTTCTTCACCAAAGTGCTTGGGGAAGTAGAAATTAGTTTTGAGGGGCGACACCTATTCTGGTACCTCGGCGATTTCCTGGTGAAATCTGCTATTTCTAGGCTCAGGCCAACCAGCAGCCTGGAGTGTGTGAGTGTGTGTTTGTTTGTGTGTGTGTGTGTGTGTGTGTGTGCCCGCGGGCGCTCCCTAGGTATTTGCGCCTGGGCGCCTTTGGTATAGCAGGAGAGTGTGTCTGTATTCGTGCGTGTGTGTTCGATTAGCTGCAATGGGCGGACAATTTCTGGAGAGAACATTTACAATTTTCTTTCAATATGACAGGATTAGTTGCTGTTGAAGGCGCTCCTCCAATGAAATCTTCTCTGCTCTCTGATTTGGCGGTTCTTCTGAGCAAATATGACAGCCTTTTCTCCAGGCTCCTTTTCGCTCCTCTCCATTTCCATCCCCAGAGCCCAGCTCTCCATCTGCAATTTCTACATCAGAACCACCCCCAACCCCGAGTCCTTTCCCTGCAAATGTGTGAGTGCTACAAAGGTGACATGGCATATCGGGAAGAATGCAGTATTGCTTTTTGATTGTCGGAGATACTTAAGCCCAGTTTTTCCAGGTGGGAAATAGACTAAATCCACTATGCTTTGTAAATATAGAATTGTTCTGAACTATTCACAGCTTGTTTATTTCTTTGGAGCATTGACAAATGCATTAGAAGGAGAAGTAATTTTTTCCTCTTATTTTAACTATGAGCCAGTGACCATGTTTTCTTCACCTAATGGGCAATAGACTACAGAATATATATATATTTGGTGCTTCAGAAAATTTGTGAACTCCATGAAACAAATAATAGGATGCAAACTTTCTGTGCTCAGACCTGCCTTTGATGTTTATTTTTTTATTTTAATGCAAAATTTCTTCTAATAATTGCATCCATTATTTTTAGATACTAATCTCATTTGATAAAAGTACAATGATACAATTTTAAAGTGTAGCTGAGGCCAAAACTTGCTTTTGTAAAAGCATATGTGTACGTGAACATAACATTAATAGATTGTATATTACATAGGCTTCACTTTCTCTCATCCAACTTCAATCAAATAAAAAGAAAGAGTAGAAACCTTAAATTTACTAACCCGGAATTGGACACACCACTTTTTGGGTCACAGGGACAGGCAAAGAGCAAGTTAAAGATACATTGAGGTAATATAATATAGTCAATTACATTCAGTTCAGTTCTTGATGTCCGGGGCTTTGCTTGGTATTAAGCGGCATCCAGAAGAGCAGAAACCGCTGTTCCTGTGTTTATTTAAGCTTCTATTCCTATTGACAAGAAAAGACACTCATATGAAACATCTATATAACAGTTAACAAACAAATGATTACTTTTATAGCAATGTAAATTTATTGATAAATGGAAATGTTGTCACTAAAAGCTTCTGCTCTTTTTATTAACTCATAGCTATCACCAAGCAGGACCTGACACGAACTTGATTTTGCTTGATTGAAGTCATCCTGAAGCACAGCATTACAAGACTGTGTCTCTGCCTTCAATCTCCATACTCACATGCCACCATCACTGGGCAATTATAAGATACCTTCAAGAAAATCAAAAGAGCTCTGCTAAGTCTCATTCTCAGCCTCTCCCAGCATTTGTTCTGTCACATTAAATATATGATTTTGTCATTTCTCCTCTCTTACTCTTTTCAGAATGAATTCACATTTTCCTTTTTTACTCCATTATTTCTGTCTACTGAGGCTCCATAAACCCATGAAGCTGCTTGAGTCTTTTTGAACACACACAGACACACACCCATCAAAGCAAAAGTGAGGAGAAATAGATCTTTGGCCAGCAATAGACCAGAAAACCCAGTGATTTGTTACTCTTTTGTTCCTTTACATCATTAAGAACACCAAGCCCCCTTTTGCTAATGAACTTATACCTTCCAAAATAAGCAGCAAAATTTATAACCATGAAAGCAAACAAATACTTTTCTTAAACCTCAATAAAACAGAGTCTGTGGGTGACTGAGTGCTATGTTTAATAGAAGTCAGTATACTTAAGGCCTTTTGGAGAGGAGCTGCACATGGAAACATCATTTTCACCAGTCATCAATTATGTCCATTTTCTTTTTCTAGGTCATCACTTAGAACACATTTTTATATATACTTGTAACTCTGCCACTCACTGTGATTTTGGAGAAATTGTTTAACTTCTCTTTGCCTCAGCTTCTTAAACCATAAAATGGGTAGTTATATCTGCTGGGGTTGGTAGAAGAAATAATAGAATTAATTCATGTGAAATTCTTAAAAGAGCATGTGGCATGTAGCAAATTAGCTATAAATATACTACTGTTGGTCAAGATTGAAAATTACAGGTTCTTGGGTCACACCTGTGACCTAATGAAACAGAGTATGGAGTGACTCTTGAGAATGCAAACCATAATGCTCATCCACATCCTGTAATGAGCATGAGAAACATAATCCATTAGCACTGTGATTTCAGGGAAACTCAATTCTTTTCTTCTTCTAGCTTCTGTTTTGATACAAGAAATGATCATGTGTATTCTGTTTTATTTTCATCTCTTAAACCAGTTTATTTTCTGAGGAAAAAAAAAAAGAATACTCCCCCACCTCAGGAATACAGCATTTGCATGTATTAGCAATTGTTGGTGTGGAAATTTTTTGTTGGTCTGTTTGTTTTTGTGAGATGGAGTCTCACTCTGTCACCCAGGCTGGAGTGCAGTGGCACGATTTCAGGCTCACTGCAACCTCCTCCACCCTAGTTCAAGTGATGCTTCTACCTTAGCCTCCCAAGTAGCTGGGATTACTGGCACCTACCACTAGGCCCGGCTAAGTTTTGTATTTTTTGTAGCGATGGGGTTTCACCATGTTGGCCAGACTCATCTCAAACTCCTGACCTCAAGTGATCAGCCCACCTCAGCCTCCTGAAGTGCTGGGATTACAGGCATGAACCACTGTGGTCTGGGCAGTATAGAACATTTTTAAAACTGCTTTTTAAATACTTTGTAAAATGCATCTATGGGATTTTTAAAATCTACATTCCTATTTTCCACCTCAAAGAACTCTAATAAATTAGCAATTTCTACTTATGAAGCCAAACTTCATTACCTACCACCTCATGATGCTAGTTTTAGATGCACGTTGAAGAGCTCTCAATGCCTGTAAAGGGTGACTTTGAATCTTTGACAAAGCTTGTGTTTCAATAAGATTACAAATAAGGTCACCACTAATGTGAGAAGAAGGGGAACCACAAATCTCATTCCTGGGAATGCGGAGCATATTTATCATGCCACATTGATTTCACTGCAGCAATAATTAGGCTTCAGTAATTAGATGCACAAATCAGCACTCTATCATCGTAAGTGGATTAAGAGGCTGACAAGTTCAACTCCAGTGATTTCCCACCAGGTATGGCGGTCATAACATTTTTTTTTTCATTTCTATTTTCAAGGAACCAAGAAAATGAAGGTGAGGACTTTGCCTATATTGGGAAAATGAGCCAAGAGCAGATCTTTCCTTGTCCTTCATCTTCTACTCACACTGACTATTTAAGACTTGAACCAGGGAAGCACAGCATTTATTAGCAGTCACTTTGTAAAACTGGGCTGATTTATCTGATGGATGCCAAAGGAACCTTTCTCTTCCTTGACCTCAGTTTGAAAAAAAAAAAAAATCCTGGGTTAAAAGTGGATCTCCACTAGATGACAATCACTACTTAAAATGTGTCCTGCAGTTGTCCCTTACTGTTTGGAAATCTTAGTAATAGTTTTGTAACAGACACTCTATTATTCCTAAAATTATTTTTTTTCCCTAGAGACCTTCCCAGAGAGCAATTTAAAAACTTCTATTCTTTAGCTAAAAAAGATGATCTCTTTTTATTCTAGAAAATCTTGAGTTTTTCATTCTCAGACCCTGCAATCGAAGTTTTCATATACAAATAGGACTGATTCTGAGGGATAATGCTTAGTGACTGTGAAAAACAATGCTTGCTATTTCTTTTTTTTTTTTTTCATGAAGTTTGGCATCACAGATGTTTTCAACTCTTTTCTCTCATAGCAATGATAGTGCTGAAAACATGTACTGCTGCTGTGTAGAAAATATTTAAAATACAGAACTCTTTTGCAAACAGGGACTATGAAGAAGGGAGAAAAAGCAGAGATGAGGGGGTGCCGTGCACTACCCTGCAAAATGTTAAACAGCTGCAATGGTGATAAATTAGTGTTAAGAATACAGAAGGAAAAGGTCACATGGGATGCTTGTTTCCTTAGAGAAGCATTTAGTGTGTGTGTGTTCCTCCTACTAGGAGGTAAGCTGAACGCTGCTTCAGAAATGAACCTCTAAGGCAGGGTGAACTTAAAAGTTTCAACAACAACTACCTCAGAGTATATTTTAACAAACAGCCTAAATTTCCCCTTTTTACAGGCAAAGTTAAAAGCTGGAATCTCAGATGAAGATAAGATTCTAGCAAAATCAAAGTGAAAGTCTTATGATACTCTTCTATATGCATGAGGTCTCAGATTATTTGAATCAGTAACTCTTTGTGCAGGCAAAAGTCATCTAGAAATATTTAAAATCTTTTCAGTCTGCAGAGAAACCTGCATTTACTCATGGGAGTTCACATAATTTCTCAGATCATATAACATACCAGCTTCTTAAGCTAACTAAAGGGAAAAGCTGGAAATGCTAACAGTCTAAAGAAATAAATCCTGGGTGCCATCACAACATTGGACAACTTCCTGATAAAATTTGATCTACCTCTATTTCTTGAGAGTGACTGGAATAATTGTGATGTAAAAGCAGCATGTTGCTAAGTAAGACTTAACTGAGTGTGTCTGCTACTGTAAAATCACTTCATATAGATCTTTTCACTTTAAAAACAGACTCCCCTAGCAGCGTGTCCAAGGAAGCATACTCCCAACCATTCTATGATTTACCATGCCTAAAATCCTGGACATTTTGTCTTTTCTCATTATTTAACCAGCAAAGTGATGGGTGTTAGGCTTAAGGATCTCATTTACAAAATCTCATGGGCAATATTTCATAAATCCTTGCAGAAAGGAATGAGGCAAGGCTCTGGGCAAAGTTATTGTATGTGTCCCATTTCTACAAGGCTTTCCTTGGCAAATGTTTTTGTAGAAATTGAGTTGGTTTCGAAAGGATGCCCAATAAGCGTGTATTATTGGCAATCATTGAATGTCTCCAATAACAACCACTCTAAATCCACTTTGAAAGGTCCAGAGGTGACAGACAGAAGGCACTCCCCTTTTATTATGCCAGAATACTGAGTAGACAGTTTCTCTCACTTGATAGCAAATCCTGGACAGATTTTCTTCTTAAGTCTCACATAAACAAGCTGCTTGTGCTTCGCTTTCCTTCTACTGTGTTGTAAGTTTCAGGTGATCATCCTGAGAATGCCAGAGTGCATCTGTAAGAATGATGCTTCTCAGCAGCCTACTACAGACCAGACTTGAAGCATCAAGATTAGTTCAACAAATATTTACACATCAATCAATATTCTCTTAGATATCAGGATTAGCTAAACACGTGGTTAGAACAAACATAAAAAAATTATTCTTAGGCACCTTCAATAAAATCTTTGCTGTCGTAACCCATGGGGGATTCAGGAAAGAGCCTTGACTCTTCATCAGGGAGCTAATTCCAGAAGTGGATTATAGGTGAGTTACACTCTATCTGGAATTTAGAAGCTATGCCAAGTTAAATCTTGGTAAAGTACTCTGGATGATGAAGCAATGTGTACAATATTTAAGGCAATCACCAGGAAATTACTGCTAAAACTGAAGACATCTATTAATGACCAACTAGCAAAACCCATGCTTTATAGTATCCAGGGTGGGAAAAAGTAACCAAAAACTATTGAATATTATGTCTACTTTCCAAAGATTATTAATGGAGAAGCCTAGGATAAGCAAGAACACTCTCACACATTCTTTGTCCAGGATGCTATGTTCTAGGATGTACTTCCAATCTTCCAATTTCTCTGTAGCTATTTTATTTATTTATTTATTATTTCTTTTTTCGCTTTTGTGTTTTGGAAGCAATTAAGCTGACTGAGAACTTACTTAGCAACGTGTGTCTCTGGCACATGGACATTTCTGTAATTTCTCGAGAAGAAAACTCTTGGCTATGGCTGTTACAGCTTATTCTAATTACATAACGGCATTGGGATGGGGATAATGTAACTAAGAACTGGAATGCAGTTGCTGTTCACAGAATTGACTTAAAGGAATAAAAGCCCATTTTGAGCTGTAGTGTATACCTTCAGCTTGCAGAATAATACTAGGCTTATCTCTGGGAATGTTCTCTCAGGTTTCTTTGCATCCTACCCCAAAGCTGGTCCACAGTGATAAGTGAGAGAATGGGAAACAGACAGGTATGCAAACTTTCAAGGTGAAAGTAGAAAATTAAGCTATCCAGTTTCTAAGAAGAGCTGTGCTGCATAGAAAGCCTCTATGCCATTATCTCTAAAGTAGGGTCACCTATGCAATACTAGGAAGAGGTGAATAAGATGGACAAACGGTAAGGTATAAATAACAGAATTGCTTCTAGGGACAAAACTTAGATGGGATCCTCTATCAAAGTAAAGGAAATAAAACAAAACTGATTCCTTCATCTGTGTGGTAAGAATATACCTATATTATTTTCTGGTGTCATTTGAGGCAACAACCTTCCCTGAAACTTGTATGTATGTACCTCCAGATATATATTGGCTCATATTGTTCTAGGTAGATTTTCTCATCAGCTCCTTGTATGAAATATCATATCCAGGTACCTTTTGTCCTTATACAACTCTCAATCAAGAAAGATGAAAATTCCACTCTAAAACAAAGATTCCTGTCCTACATGAAGTCACTTGCAGAACTCCAGCAGTTGCTTAATTCTGGCTTCCAAAGCCAAGAGCAGTGGTATCTGTAACTATAAAAACTAGTTTCTTGAGTGCAAGACCATGAGTATGTTCTGATAACAACATGAGATAGGCTGACTCCCTGTAAGTCAATGCATTTATAGAATAAACTTTGATTTTGCTTCTTGATCACCTAATTCAGAACTGTTTTCTCATTCTAAGCCTTTTATTATTATTATTATTATTTTTAGAGATGGGGTTTCACCATGCAAGTCAGGCTGGTCTCGAACTCCCGACCTCAGGTGATCCACCTGCCTCAGCCTCCCAAAGTGCTGGGATTACAAGCATGAGACACCATGCCTGACCGATTCTAAGCCTTTTTGTCTTTAAATATTCTTTTTGGCCCAATTGCTACTCTGTTCTTATTGATCCCAACTACTGGCTGGAGATTTGCCAAATAATCTTCACCTCAACTCTATGTACTAGTGTTTCTGTGTAAGTTTAGAACTAGACTCCTCCTTCTTACATTAAAAATAATAATTCTGATCTGCACTGTGATCCCTTTGTTTTTAAACCTAATAATACTTCTTATAAATTGGGGTGTGGCCAATGCAGCAGGACTGCAAGCATAGTGGACCCTTTCCCCGATGGCCAAGTCAGTTTTAAGTATATTCAATTTCGACTCTAGTTTGATGTGGTTAATTGCTTACAACTTGTTATAATAGTTATAGGGAACATTTCTTAGTATATCACTATATGAATATGATGATGATTCTCTTGGAAGACTTTTCAAACCTAAATAATGAGTTGTTTTTGTCATTGGGCTTATTATTTTTTGCCATAATACTAATATACATGTTAACAGAAATATAATATTTACATATAATTAAAAATAATCTCATAACATTAAAAGCATTTTGTACTATGACTGCTTAGTAATGATAACCTTTCTTGGAATGTGAGAGTTGGTAAATTTTCTTATCGTATTCTCTCTTCTGTACAGAATTCTTGATCGTTATTTTTGTTTCTAATCTGGAGCTATCTTTCCTGAAAGTAACTTAGAAACAAAGCACAAAGCTTTAAATTAAAAGACTAATGAAGACAGCAAATTAAAATTAAATTCTAAAAATGATTGCATCATATGAAAAGAGATTAAAGTACAGAGGAAATGTGGGAAGAAATGGTAAAAAATGCACTTACTTAGTGAAATTAGAACTCCTAGTGAAGCCAATACTCATGATCTAAAAAAAAAGATGAAGAATGAGATTCCTGTGCTCACCCCAAAGTACATTCATGGAAGCATGGGAAACCAAGATAAGAGCTGTCAGGAAAAGGAAATGAGCCACTGTTGTTTTGTAACTCCTTTACTAAACTGCTAGAAACTACAGCATGGCTTTCATACTAAGCTGAAAGTTCTCATCTCCTCATATGCAGCTTATAAACCTATCCTATTTAGCTTTTAAATAAACTAAGTATTGAAAACAAAAATAGTTCTGAAAAGGTTTCTATTTCTTTCTTTTTGCTTGCTTTCTCCCTTAAGTGGTGACAGTTCTCTCTGTGAGCCTCTTTAGAAACCTGATGGCACAGACAAAAAGAATTTACTCAAAATACCCTGGGGTGTTGTGATGGAGTGGAGGGAATTGAAATGTATAGCAGTCTAGTTGCTAAGGATAAGGGTCAGAGTCTAATACCCAAAACCTGCCTGCCACAGTGTCTCTCAAAATGAATCTGTGGTGAACCAGAAAAATTAATCTAAATGCTTTATCACAAATATAAATAGCACCGTCTGTGCCTGTTTTACAAAGCACAGAAGTGCAAGGGGGACAGCATTTTTAAAGCGTTTCTATGTGAGTGTGTTTAAACATGCAGAGTGTTTGTTTAGCTTTCAGTTATCCCTGAAGAATAAAAGCTACTCTCTAGCACAGGTAATTCTTCAAAATACAACTTTGAACAACATAGATTTGAAGGTGAATGGTTATTTAGGGGTAAATCTTAAGTCTCTATTCACCTTCTCATAAGTCTATACCGTCATCATAAATGTTGATATTTTTCCTCAGTATTGATCATCTTGACTCATTTAAAAATAACTCCCCAAATATTTGTTCATTTATGTGTGCAATTCTGTGTAGTGATACCAGCAAATGGTGAACTTCAGCTTCTCACAAAAAGAATGTACTTTGTACACATTACACAGTATTGCCCTATTACAATGCAATGAACTGGGTGACTATGCACCAAGTCACATCTGAAAACATCAACTTCTTAAATTAGGTCACCTGGAGCATCAATATACCCTTTGCATCTCATACTTATAGGAATGTTCATTTGGCCAACATCAAGGAATAAACATTCCATATTTTCAAATTGCCCTAGTAATCTAAATTTATCACTTCAAGCTTTGTCAATTAAAAAAAAGTTAACCACGTGATACATTTTTCTAATTGTATTACAAAATGGCCCATCTTCCTAAATGGAATGCAACAGTGAAGTCAAATAGAAAGTGCCCTGTATCCTCATGTCAATTATTGTATATTATATGACCTTAACTAAGTAATTTAACCCATTGGTGCCTCACTTAATTTATCTGTAAAATGATAATGCAGTTATCCTAATTCCAAGATAATTTAAAAATATTTTAATACAAGATTTATTATCATTATATATGTTTATATATATATACACACACATATATCTTTACATATATATGAAAATCAGTTGTTCATCAGGTTTTCATTAATTTATAACTCTTGTAATCTGAAATGTTTATATTTGCAGGGTTTAGAAGGCAGATAATGTTTCCCTCCCCAAGATGTCCACATTTAAATCTTTAGAAACTATATATATGTTACTATAAATTGGAAGAAAAGAATTTTCATGAAAGTAGACATAAGTCTGCAAATCAGCTGACCTTAAGATAGAGAGATTATCTTGTCTTAATCAGGTAGGCCCAATGTAATCAGAAGTAGCCATAAAAGTGAGTGATCAAGGCAGAAGACTCAGTATCAAAGTGAGGTGATATGAGAATAATTTGATCGGCCATTGCTGGCTTTGCAGATTGAAGGAGCCATGAATGAAAGAATGCAAGCACCTTCTAAAAGCTGGAAAACATAAGAAATCTGATTTTCTACTAGAGCCTCCAGAAAGAACGGAGGTCTACTGACACAGATTTTGGCCCAGTGAGACCTGTGCGAAGCTTCCGAACTATAAGATAATAAATGTGCATTTTTAAGCAAAGAGCCTTATGGTTGCCACAGCCATAGAAAACTACGATACTAAGTTTCTCCCATGGTCATAGAAAATAATTTAGGTACTGTATGCTAGACAAGTTTATCCGAATTTCCACGTGGGTGCCTTATGTTAGTGATAATATAATTGTGCCAATTATTTTGCCCAAATGTCTCAGTCAAGTATAGTGGTTACAATATACTTAGGGGCAGAAGGAATGCCAAAGTTTTGAGGAAGTGGTTTATTGATACTAAAAATTCAGCACTTGGGACAATTCAGCCAATGTTTCCAGTTTGAATCAGTACCTTGGAGAGTGGACAGGACACATTCTTTCATGATCAGAATAGGCCCAGATAGTCCGTTATTCTGTGGACTTAACCTCTGCCAAGATCGTTGAGATGTGGGGAGTGATTATGCTGATTGTAACCTGAGAAAAAAAGTATGAAGTTACCTCCACTTTAAAGTAGTTCTTGCCTCAAAATCAAGTCCCTTCATCTGAGCTTTGCCAAAGCCAGTTGGAGTCAAATGTTAGATGATTTTTGACCCAATGGTGCATTTCACATGTAGTTTCTGTGAACTTTCCAAGTTGGAATTGCCTTTTCTGTGTCTCCCCATGTACTGGTCTCAGTCCCTGGCTTTGCTTATAATCTATCTTTAGAGTTCAGCAAGATCTTGAGTTAGAATAAAGCAAACTGAGCTCACTACTAGAAGGTTTGGATAGATGCAGGTATGAGCCAAAATAAGCAACCATAATTTATTCACTCACTCATTTAGTAAACAATATTTATTTACTGCCTACCAGGTACCATGTGTGATTCTACATGCTAGAGATTAAGGCTGACTAAGATATAGTCTTGCTTTCATGGGTCTCTTGTGGACAGAAGCAGAACATAAATAACATCAAAAATACTTAATGTAATACAATGTAATAATGTCAAACAATAATTTTACTACAAAATGTAAAAGCAAATCAAAAGAAAAGGACTATTCTAAGTTATATATTTTTCTTTTTCCCAAATATTCATAGTTCTCCCTCTTTGCAGTTATAAGGTAAAATTACAGGTTGCAGTTGTGGTGAGAAAGGGCCCTGTGAATAGTTTTCCCTGTGAGGTCTGAGTAGCACTGATGTGACTCCAAGTTGAGCATCTAATTACCTGCTTGAAAGCTTCCCAAACTCTCCTCTGCCTTCAGTACAGCAACAGCAATATTTAAGATTGTAGTTTGAATCCTTGAATTATTCCTGCAACCACCATGAAAACATAGTGGAAATGTGAAACAAACAAACAAACAAAACAACAACAAACAAACAAACAAAAACCTTGTTGTTTTCTGACACCGGTATTTGCTTCTCCCATCACAGAATAACGTATTCTGTTCTGACTTATAAATACAGTCAAGGGAGGTGTGATACTAGGATCTGAAATTGTAGCAGAGACTTGAATGATGGTAATAACTAAGTGATGCTAAATTCCTGGAGGAAAATATTTGAGGCAGAAGAAAAGAGATAGTGTAAAAAATTGCAGACACGTATCATACAGGTCCTAAGAAGGTGATGTGCCATCCTGAACCAAGTGTGGACATAGATCCTAGCTCTAAAAAGTGCCAGGGCTTTCCTGGCCCTATTTTTTGTCTATTGATTTCCATTTCTTAATATTTATTTTGAAAAACATGGTAGACATTGGAACCAGTGACAAAATTCTTATAAAGCCAACTCAAGACTTCCAGCTAAGAATCTAACTTATTTCTTACATATAAAATTATTCTATTAAGTTGCAGTCATGTTTTTGCCACTCTCCTTATTCCCTAACCAAAATGGTTCTCATAATTTTCTTTGTAACCCTGGGGATAATACTTAGGAACCCAGGTAGTCTCTGAATCACTGCAATCTCTGTATTTTCATTTATTCATTTAGCAACTACAATATCCTTGATTCTGAACAAAACACTTGTGATAAAATAGTAAAGACAGATAGAACTTACTGTATAGTGGAGGAGACAAATATTCAGCCAATAATCACACAAATTCAAAGGGAAATTACAGGTATAAAAATATAATGGAATGAAATTGTTTTGAGTACACAGTAGGGAGATTTGAGTCTCCTCTATAAAAAAGTCTTGCCTGGGGAAGTGAAGCCTAAATTAAATCTCAAAGATGAGAAGGAATTAATCAGGTAAAGACTGGAAAGAAATGTTTGCCACAAAAAGGGAACAGCAGGTCAAGTGTTCTGTGGAAGTAGGAGGATGAGAAGTAGAAAAAAACTATGAAGGATCCAGAAGGAGGAAGGAAGAGGATTTGTGGGATGTTTTTCATGAAAAGGAATGAGTCAGGCAGGTGTGGAAGAGGGAGGCCATGCAAGGCTCTCTAGCCATGTTTAGGAAAACTATCTTTTTGTTGAAATTGGTAGGAACCTATTGGAAGAATTACAAGGGCATAGGAAAGTATAACTATAATCAAATGAGTTTCGAAAACATGTTCTGACAGCATGTTCTCACTCATAAATGGGTGTTAAACAATGAGAATACATGAACACAGGGAAGGGAACATCACACACCAGGGACTGTCAGGGGTTGGGGGTTAGGGGAGGAATAGCAGGGGTTGGGGGAATAGGGGAGGGATAACATTAGGGG